TATATGCACTAAATGAGGAACCAGACAAATACTTAAAACAGCTGTTAATAGACTTGAAGAAAGACATTGATAGCGACAAAATAGAGAATTCAACACTGCTTTGTCACCTCTCAGTAGAACAACTAGACTAAAGCTCAGCAAGGAAATACTTATTTGATATAATAAATGGCTTATCTAGGGACATCACCACACTCTGTAATATTCTCTTCAATGTGAAAATGTTTCCTTGTGGCTTCAGAGTATTCTATTTTGTATATATACTGCATTTTGATAATCTATTCATCTATCACTGGACATCAAGTTATTTCCATATTTTAGCTATTGTACTGAGTATAACAATGAATATTGGTATATAATGTCCTTTCGAGAGAGTGTTTTTATGTCCTGCAGGTAAATGGGAACTGGATGATATGTTGAGTGAAGTAACCCTGAAGAAGGACAAACACAGAATGATCTCACTTATTTGTAGTATATAGAATACTGGATGAGGAAATGTACTGTAGTAAAACTCAATCAAACCTACCCCCAGTATTTAGAGAAGAGAAAGACAGAGAAGGAAAGAAATATAGAGGGAAGAAGAGAATGGAATGTAGAAGAGGCATCAGGGATTTAGTTATACTGGTAATATAGGTGAGTGCATCACCATATATCCCAAACACACAGTCAACAAAAACTGAGATCTAAGCTGAAACCATGACAGTTTGTAATGTGTCTGTCAAGTTAACATGCAGGGATAGAATCAGGGGTGAGGTGAGGAGGGAATATGGGAACACTGGTGAAGGGAAGTTGACACTGGTGATGGGGTTGGTATTGAAATATTATATGCCTGAAACTCAACAATCAATAACTTTGTAAATCACAGTTCTTCAATTAAAAAATAGAAAAATAGCAAAATTCTTTCTATGTTCTGAAATATCACATTGCATACTTACTAGCTTTTGGAACCTGATTCATCATACAGATAAGATTTTTCTAAGTTTGTTTTGGTTTCATTTTGGGGTCATACTGGGCAGTGCTCAGGACTTACTCCTGGTACTGTGATCAGGGGTCATTCCTGGTGATGTTTGGTGACCATAATTGGTGCCCAGATGAAATCTGGATCAGTCACATCTAAGGCAAGTACCTGACCCCCTTACTATCTCTGTGGCCCAAAATTAAAATTTTGAATAAAGTTTACAAAATACCTTCCTATTACTTTCATTCTGTGTAGTGTTTAGGGATATATATATGTATAATTTTTATATACACAAACCCTCACAGAAACATGACCTGATGCAAAAGATTATATATTTCCTTGTACATAACTCAATGTTGAAATAACTCAAGGTTGAAATAACTCAAGGTTGAAATAACTCAACCTGTTTGATGAAACATAAAGCACTTGACATTATGTTGTGTCACAGAAAGAATTTTCACTGAGTATTAAAAAAATGACAGTGGAGCAACAAGGGAGCTTAGGAAAATGTAATTATTTGGATGAAGATAGAATATGAACATTTTATCTTGTGGGATCAGCAGGTAAAATTAAGCCAAGGTGGGAAATGACAAAATCATGACTGGAGAGCTGGCCTGCATCTAGATGCTACAAACGTTGTTGAACTGCCTTTGCAGATGGCTGGGTAAGTCATCTCCCAGAATATCATGCCTAGCCACCTAACTTCCAGCGTCCTTGGTGAAAGGTGAGCAAAAAGCCCACTCAGAGCATTTGCAAAGATGACTAGATGGGACAGTGCTGACAGTTGGATCACAGTGAAAGTTGAAAACCCAAGGTACACTGAAGAAGAGAAAACCACCTCTACCTCCACACTGAAGAAGAGATAACCACCTCTATTTCCACTTAGGTTCCTGCTCTCTCCAAACTCATTTGTTCCATATTTTCATTTTTGACTGAGTGAAAGGGTATTTTTGTTTGTGTGTGTGTGAGTGTGTGTTTGTTTCTTTTTAACAAAGTTTGCCAACACTCATCTCTTTTTATTGTTTGTTTGGGGGTCACACCTGGCTCTACACTCAGGGATCACTTCTCGAGGGCCAGGGGGACCTAGCTCTGGGATGCTGGGATCAAACCTCAGTCAGTCACATGCAAGGCAAATACCCTACCAGCATCCATTCCTTTTGTTTGTCTGAATTTTGTGAAGTTTGGGTATTTGAAGAGCTTTCCTCTACTACCCCTTTAAAAGTCAAAGGTTTGGAGCTCATTTAATGGAATGCTGCAGATGGGGTTTCTTGAACATAAGGCAGAGAAACCAAAGGAGTCTTGGAATTTGTCACCAGGAACAAAAACAGACTGTACATTTATGAGAGACTGTGTCCTGCCAACCACCAGGAAAGTTAAACCCAGTGCACTCCAAATAATGTGATGGACTACACACTGCAGGCAACAAAGATCTCATTGTTGGACTCAAGTTTAAGTCAATGAGACCGAAGTTAATTGCATGGTAAGAATGTGTGTCTTTCAGAGAGGCTTTGGGAGGCAATGAGGTACAGGGGTAAAGGTAAAAGGTAAAGGCCCTCCCGTTGATCATCGATTTGCTCGAGTGGGCCCAGTAACGTCTCCATTGGAGACTTTGTTGTTACTGTGTCTGGCATATCGAATACTCTCGGTAGCTTGCCGGGCTCTCCAAGAGGGGTGGAGGAATCGAACTCGGGTCGGCCATGTTGGCCGCTTGTAAGGCGAACGCCCTATCCGCTGTGCTATCGCTCCAGCAGGGGAAAGGTTCAAAAATACATGCAATGGCTGGAGTGATAGCACAGCGGGTAGGGCATTTGCCTTGCACTCGGCCGACCTGGATTCAATTCCCAGCATCCCATATGGTTCCCCGAGCACTGCCAGGAGTAATTCCTGAGTGCATGAGCCAGGAGTAGCCCCTGTGCATCGCCGGGTGTGACCCAAAAAGCCAAGCAAAATCTGGGCACAGAATGGCCAGGAGGGCCAACTGGATACCAACAGGAAAGGGAGGATCAGGCAGGAGGGGTCAGTGCATGGCCAGGGGCAATGAGCAGCTGGGGTCTTGAGGAAGAACAGTTTCAGTCTGCATCTTCCTGCTGGCTTCTTTCCATTTACCCAAAAGCCTGTGGGCTGCCTTCCTGAGCCTGGGAGTCCAGAGGGGTTACAACAATTGTCCCTGAACTGCCTTGCATTGCGCCATGGAATTCTCAGAGAATGAAGCTTTATCTCTTTTGTTCCATTCATATTTTCTGAGAACCCACAAGACTCATCATATCGAACAGACACTACATGCTATGGGAAAGTTTAGAGTCTCAGCCCTCAAGGCAATCTCTCCTAAGTTTGATTAAAGCTGACTCACAGTCTGGACTGCAAAGCTGTTCAACCACAAGACAGTGGAAGAAACAAGTACAGGAGTTCTGCAAATATCCTCCGGGTCACCCTGGTGCCATGGTTGGCAGATGGGCCTCAGGCATCACTGGGCCAAGGGGATGCAAATTCCTCTCTGCCTGTACCACTCTCCTGGGTGTTGGCCTTTCTTTCTGACACAGTGTTAATTTAGGCGCCTGAACTGATCCTATATCCCAGACTTGTTGACTTGCTTCTGCTTCACCATGTTGATTCTAGGAATTTGTTCTCTTGTTCTCTCTTTAAGGTTTTCACTGGGAGTACTGGTGGGATACAGGTTAGTAGCCTCAACTCTGTTTCTCTCTGCTCCCTGGAACAGAACCACTCCCTTGCCTGTAGTCCCATGTGGTACAGGTCTAGACTTGGATTCCTCCTCTGCCTGCCCCAGGGGCTGAGGGGGAGGAGGCTAGATCAGATTTGCAAAATTTTCAGAGCTAGAAAACTCAGTTTCTGCCCAGAATAGTGTTCTGGTCTTCCAGGGGCATTGGGGGAAACCTTTCCAGTAGTGAAAGACCTTGCTCCACATTGGAGACAGATCTTTCAACCTCAAACGGTGGAGTGTGCCTTGGACCAAAGTGTGTCAACTCCCACGGTTCTTAGATCACTGCAAATCAGGATCCTATACCAACCTGCACCAAACTCCCAGCCTTGACTTCAACACTGTCCTCTTTCACAAAGCTCCTCTGAGGTTATAAGAATATCTAGGGGCAAAACATCCTGTCGTCTCAGGTCACTCTAGTCACAAAAGAAATTAATTACCAATAATTCTTTGGCCTAACTCCACAGCATGTCTAAGCACCTGCCTGGGTCACTAGGAGGTTCTGAGGGCACATTACTCAAGTAAAGGTACCCTGGCAATGCTAAAGCCCTCAGTTCCTCTGCCAGACTATGTGCCCCACAATAAATGTCACTGTAGCACTGTCGTCCCGTTGTTCATCAACTTTCTCGAGTGGGCCTCAGTAGCGTCTCCATTGTGAGACTTGTTGTTACTGTTTTTGGCATATCAAATACGCCATGGGGAGCTTGCCAGGCTCTACCATGTGGGTAGAGCCACAACAACATCCTCACCAATATCAGCAACAGGGGTGAATGCCTCAGTTTCCCCTCTTGACACAGGCCTGTCCCTCCTCCTCTCCTGCTCCCCGTAGGACTCTACACTGGCCTCAGAGAGGCAGCACTGTTCTCACTGGTGGGGCGGGCAGGGAGGCAGTCTCACACCTGTCTTTGCACACCTTCGCTTGTAGACTCTACAAATGATGACGAACATTTACAAGTGACAACTGAACATTTACAAATGACAACTGACAAATGAAGGAGGCAAGGCATAAGTCAAACAAGGTTGGGTTTGATACACTGATTAAGAAGCACTATTGGGGGCTGGAGCGATAGTACAGCAGGTAGGGCATTTCCCTTGCACTGGGCTGACCCAGATTCAATTCCCAGCATCCCATATTGTCCCCTCAGCACCGCCAGGAATAATTCCTGAGTGCAAAGCCAGGAGTAACTCCTGTGCATTTGCGGATGTGACCCAAAAAGCAAAAATAAAATAAAAAAGCACTGTAACATTCAATATAAAGCAGGATTCAGTTTCTGTCTCCAGGCCAAGGGAAAAGGCAGCCTTTCTGTTGGTCCCTCGGCAAGGACTCACCTGTATGGTTCCATAGTTCGAACACCATAGATCAGGGCCTCTTCCAGCATGCCCAGATTGATGCACGCATCCATGGCACAGTCGAGCACCTTCAGCTGGTAGATGTTGGTATCAGGAAGCCTCTCCGAGTTGCTGCTTATGATCTCCTGGCACATAGCCAGAACTTGTTCCCACTCTGTTATTAACCTTAGTTAAGGACTCATTGTTTTCATCAAGAAAAAACAAAAGTAAAATGAGATTCTTTAAAAGGCTGGAGAGTTCCCCAAGCACAGGAGGGAAGGAGGCGCTTATTATTTTACACAGATGAGCTGCCTGAAAACACACTTGAGAAACAAAAACATGTAAGTGGTATCTCGCAGTGAATTCTGTTTCCATCAACAAGGCTGCATTTGGAGGATTAAGATATCCAGAAAACCATTCTTTTCTTCACACTCCTCTCTGCACTCTTTCAGTCTAGTCTCGGAGTGAAAGTGGCTGCTTCTTCAATGAAAACTTAGCTTGGTTTCATATTATTTATTCTACTAACTACTGCCGCAGATATGATCTAATCTGAAATTAAGCTGCAGAGAGATTTCTTTTTGAAAAGAAGGTCCTCTTTCCTGCTTCTAGGTCATGCTCTGAGGCATGTAGGTTAGAATTCATAAGCAGATATGAGGCATGTAGGACAGAACTCACAGAAAGATATGAGGGGAACAAAACCATTTCCACTAAACCTCAAACTTAGATGTTGTTTTCAAGCCAAATTATTATAAAGCAAAAGTGATTCAAGCTTACACTAAGCCAAATAAAATTATTTATTATACCAAATAAAATAATTTTTATTTAACTTTTCCCTCTAATATAATATTAATAGTACATTTTACGCAGAGCTTGGCAAGCTACCCATGGCATATTCCCAATATGCCAAAACAGTAACAACAACGGGTCTCGTTCTCCTGACCCTGAAAGAGCCTCCAGTACCTTTGGGAAAGACGAGTGAAGAGACGTTGCTAAAATCTCAGGGCTGGGATGAATAGAGATGCTACTGGCGCCCGCTCAAGTAAATTGATGAACAACGGGATGACAGTGATTATGACAGTGATATTTTCTGCCACTGCAGGTAGGGAGAAATTATGTTTTGGAAAGAAGCTGGAAAATGCCCCAGATCCCCTTTGGGTGGTACTGACTCTCTGATGAACTGAACCCATTATCTACTTTCATGATGTTTTGTGTCGCTGAGGTTTGTGTGTGTGCCTGTTCTGTTTTGTTTGGGGGCCATGTCCAGCAGTGCTCAAGGTTTACTCCTGGCTCTGTACTCAGGGTTCACTCCTGGCGGGGCTCAGAGAAAATGATATGTGATGATGTGTATCAAGGATCAAATCCAGATCAGCTGCGCGCAAAGCAAGTTCTCTACCTGCTGTACTACTGCTCCAGCCCCATGTCACTGAGTTTTTTTAACTGCCATAGCTGGTGAGAAGACTGAACACCAGATGTGTGGTGTTAGGAATATGACTGGAACTCCTATGACAGGGATTTCCTGGAAGCACCAGCTGAAGGTGAGTGTACAGACATCAGGGGTCTTGAGCCCGTCACCCCTTCCACTTCCACCCTGTGATGCTGATGAAGAGTTAGAGACCAAGACGAATGCTTGTCCCTGTGTCACCACTCCCACCTGTAATTCAGTCTGAGCAGCATCACGTTCATCTGCTTTCAAATGGGGATGGAGGATTTTGGATGTAGCAGACATTGGCACTGCCTTTGACTATGGGGTTGGATTTAAGCTAGTTCTATCATTTGTCAGATATTTGAAGTCGGAGGAAGTCCTCTGAGCACTTTAAGGTCAACAGGTTGGGCAGGTGGGGGTGGGGGGATAGGGAAGGCTTAAAATCACTGTAAGAATTAAATGGCAGTGTATGTAAAACTTCAAAAGTTCTTCATTTTTTAGGGCTGGAGAGATAATACAGTGGGCAGGGCATCCACCTTGCATGCTGATAACCTGGTTTAGTGCCAGACCCCACATAGGTTCCCCTGAACACCTCCAGGAATGTTCCCTAAACACAGCAGGGTGTGATATGGGAGGGGGCGGGGGGGGGGGGGAAGCAAACACAAAAAGTTCTTTATGTGTTCCTTTACAAGCTTTAAAGAGTTCTGAATGTCAGGCACACCATGGGAAATATAGTGACATTCTCAAAACACACATTACACTAATATCACTGCTCTCCTCCTTCCTGACCTGCCCTGCCTTCTGGGTATGACTAGGCATAAGACAAACCAGTGGGTGGAGTCTGATGAAGCTTCTTCCGCTCCGCCTACATTTCCTAGCACTCTCCCACAGTCCGGAGCTCCCTGCTTCTACACCCTGTGCCTTCAAACCCCAACACAAAGCCCTCCTTATCCAGGCCCTAAGAGCAAGCCCTGCCCTAAACAGCGAGTCCTCCATGCACTCCTTTGCTCCTTTAGCTTAGCCTCTTCCCTCCATCAGCACAGCTGACCTCCTCTAGCCTCCATAATCTGAGGGCACTGCTTTCCAAGACATAATGAAACACATATATGAAACCAATCAAACCATTTGTGAGTGGGGACTAAGACCATTACTAAAAGCTTCACAAGAAGTTTTTCTTTCCACGGTAATGCCTTATCCCAAAGTCATGGCTTCCTTGCTTAGAATTTTAAGCACTGGGGGGCCAGTCCCCCTAGCAGCTCCAGGAGTAATTCCTGAGTGCAGAGCCCTGAGCATCACTGGGTGTGACCCAAAAAGAAAAAAAAATTAAGCACTGTAAGGCATAGCTGAAAGCCTTTATGCCACATTTCCTGTCCATAACACTCTGTAGTTTTAGGATGAGCCCTGTCTCAGAGGAGGTGACTCTGATCCTACATTTATTGAAAGAAAGTGAGTTGGTGTTTTCTTTTGTATTCATCTGACATGGATGTTTAAAGTTTGCTGCATGTATCCCCTAGAGGTTGGGGAAAGCAGTATCTGTGGCAATGCACTGATTTTCTAACAGATTGCCAAGCTAACCTCTGTGACTTTTCATTTCTGGATTAGATATTTGATGAACTGTCAAGAGGAATGACTGTCTTTTACACAGTGCAATATAGTTCAGTGGCAAGATTTTGCACCTCATTTTAACATCATGTTGCTTGGCCTCCTTATTTATTTGCCTCTTTATTTATATAGGCTCCACCTCATTGGAAGAGGTTTGAGGTGACAGGCCTTAAAAGTAAGAACCAAATGTGCTACTCTGCAGGCAAGGAAAGGAATACAGCTACTTTTTCCGCCAGCAAGCTAGAAGGAACTGCATGCCAACTTTCCTTTGCAACACTGGCAACCAACTCCTGGCAAACAAGGCAAACCTTTTCTGTAAAACATCCCAGTGAGAAAAGAAAAAAGTAAAATAATTTTAACTGGGAGGCTTTCCCCGCAGCTAATGAGGATATGTATTTGCTCACAATTTTAGTTGCTGGCATTTGCTCTGTGTTTATGAAAGTCATTTTGTTCCAAAGGAGGCATGGCATTCTAGAGCAAAGTAGGAACAGAGCCCACCCAAAGAGAAAAGGAGTTGATGGACTGAACAGACACCTTACCCTGAAGACTTAGTATTTAATATCAATATATGTAATATATCATAATGTAATGCTCTATTTATTAATTTATAATGTAATAAAATACTAACCTAAAGAGGGTTAGGGGAAAGAGAAGAGGAGCCAGGAAATCTACTTGAGAACTAATCAACTCCTTGCAACTCAAGGATGTGGGGACCACAGGGTACTTCTCAACTACCCACATTACTCTACTGTTTCAGTTCATCTCATACATTGTCTACCCCCCAGGTATGGCTTTTAGGGTATTGCCAGGCCCCTCCCTCTACTTCTTGACAACTGGGAATGACCAACAGTGTGCTGCTCTCAGCTTGGCCTCCCCTGCTTTATGGTATATATTCCTAGTAAATTCACCCAGACTCTCCCTTCCTGGACACAGTTGTCAGCTCCTCATGAAGCTTTTACACTTCTTTTGTTAGTTGAGATCATGCACCTCCAAAAACCTATCTTACTAAGATAGTTAACACATATGCTGCCCACTGTGTCTGAGAGTCATAAATGCAGGATTATATATGAAACATTCTGTTGTGGGGCCAGGAAGCGACACAGTGGTTAGGATGCATGTCTAGAATGTGCCTGACCTGGGTTTGGTTCCTGGCATCACAGAATGCCAGGGTGCAGCCCTGGAGGCCCCCTAGCACTGCTGGGTGTGGGCCAAGAATCCCCAACATCACATGCCTGGATTCTTGCAATTGAACCACTAATCAAATTGGCCAGAAGTTAATATATATATATATATATGTGTGTGTGTGTGTGTGTATATGTGTGTGTATCCATATTGACCCTGTTTCCACTCTTTAAATCTGTTTAAATGGTTCTACATCCCTTTTAATAGGTTTTACTCTCCAAACTGGATGTTAAAATTCAGACAGGATCATACTAATTCCATCACCTTCTTGTGCTATGTTTTCTTTCTATTCTTGCAGCCTCAGATCATGGCTGAGTCATAGTACTCCTGGGAAGGTGGGTGAGTCTGTACATCCCAGGGACTAGACTTACCTGGGAGTGGAGCTCTCAGAGGGACAACATGAGCATCACCTGGGGCACTGCTCTCTCAGGAAGGTTGATCCAGAGCTGCGGGCACCGAGCATATAGCTCTGGCTCCTGCATGAAATCCCCGTACGAACCTTGGAAACACACTTTACCCTACAGGGCCGTGACTCTGCATTCGTATGTTCTAAGTAAACATTGTGATGAGAGCATGTTTCTTTTCATTCCTTTGGTCACCAATTCTAGAGTCTTTACCAAACTATTTAAAAAGTAAAAAGAAAATGGGAGGAATCAACCTGCCTAACTTCAAGCTCTACTACAAAGCAGTAATAATCAAAACAGCATGGTACTGGAATAAAGGCAGAGCTGCAGATCAATGGAACAGAGTTGAATATACTGACATCTCCTCCCAAGCATATGATAATCTAATCTTCAATAAGGGGGCAAGAAAAGTGAAATGGAGCAGGGAAAGCCTCTTTAATAAATTGTGCTGGCAAAACTGGACGGCTACATGCAAAAAACTGGGCTCAGATCTCTGCCTAATGCCATGCACAAAAGTAAGATCAAAATGGATTTATGACCTCAACATCAGACCGGAATCCATAA